TTGGCTACGGCAGAAGCGGTAGGCATTCGTCTGCACAAACCCCCTCTGTGTGCCCAAAAACAATTTGTGCAAGCGCTTAAGCTTCCCTGGCCCACCCCCCATACAAACCGCATCGTGAGTAATCTCGATGGTCGGATGAGTGGACAAACAAACATGTGATCGTGGTGAACCCGATTTCCGGTCTCACGATGAAATCGGTTTTAGTAATCTGTTTTTATTTTATTTTATTTTCCCATGACAATTTTATTCCCAAGTAGTGATATATATTGAGATGTATTGGCATGAATACGAATCTCTGAAAACGAGCTTGTTCGCCACTCTGTTGTTTTGGTTTGAAATTTACTAATCGCAACAAACTTTGCTCAGTACTTTTTTCTGTGCTTTATTTGTGGTATCTTAAAAACTGGACAAAGTTTTATCGATGCACGCAACCAATTTCGAGGGCACTGTGTAATAAAATACTTACTAGATATGCGTAACCGGTACGTAAAATTAGACGCGATCAACAAATAGTCCTGGGGGATTCATCCATCCTTAATCAGAATAGGGTTGAGTGTACCTGAATCCTGAAGCACTGTTAATTATTACTCGTACTTAGATGTTTCTTCTTCATTTGCTCTAGACTACTTGTCAGTAGTTTCACGTGTTTATTTACCGTACAGCATTTCCTGTACCACAAGGTGACTGTTGTTCTGGAATCTATACTCTAATATGACATATCTCACCGAACAATAATGCTTATTATTAGGTTTGTAAATTCTTATTGACATAAATCCTTGCGCTGCGCGAAAAACCTGCCGCCACCAAAGACTGAACCTCAGGCTGCCCCTGAACCACCACCAAATTTCAGTTCAAATCAGTCACATACGATTCAAAAGAAAAACCACGAAAACTACCACAGGTAGACCCCCAAAAATGGTTCATCACATGAAAAATCAGTTCACACTGAATAAGACCAAAAATGACAGCCGAAAAACCAAATTGACATTGACCGACTTCATACAGAGATTCTTCAGACAACGGATCATACAGACTAAAGCAGAACATTTCTCGCTAAGACGTATTGTGTTGCTCCGAAAATGCTATATCGTGTGGTTTCCAAGCATTGTAATATCAGCCAGGCCGATAGCGCTGTCATACCGACATATTGAATATCCAAACTTGCAAATCTTATTTCATCGATGGGGTGTAATGGAATGATCTAATCGGGTCCCAATCAGCGTTATGCTATGCCCCTGTTTGTTGAAGATTCCCGATTCGGAAGAATAAGTTGTTATTTTTGGCCCAATTTCTCTCCTGATATGTGCACATTGATCCTGAAACAAGTGCACTAGGAAACGCAATTACGAAATTGGTCAAACACGTGTTGCCCTCTTGTCTTCGATCAAAAATAAGGGTTCCTTCTTCATCGGATCGTAGTTCGAAACAATTGGTTCTGGTGTGTACATGTGCTCTGGGATGGATAAAAGAGTCGAAAAGTTTCTTTGTGATCAGTTAGCCCGTGTGCCTCACATTTTGGGCTGTACATTTGGTTTGGAAGGAAGAGGACTTGAATTGGTGCGTAGCCACTTTGAGGTCAGACGTCCAGCTGTGTCAAGACGATTGGAAAGTCCTTTGGATATGGACTTGGCAAAACCGGACTTGGCGCTCTCCATGGTCACTGGGTTGCTCCTTCCAGCTTGTCGTCCATCGTTTTTGACCGCCGTCTCTGGTTTTCCATTACTGCAATTTTAGTACAAGAATTACGAACGAAACAAAAGCAGATAATTCACAGAATAAAATAAAATGATACGAAAATACTGATTTGGCATCTAGGTCTTTCTTTACACAAAATACTTCTCAGCGGTGGTCGTATGAAATTTTGAAAAACAAATCCATATTTAAAGCATTTAGATCCTGTAATGAATTTGAATAGGAAAGCCGGAATATAAAGTCTGTAAGGGGAGGTCATTTCGTATGCTCTCATAGGTCTCATACGTATGGCGTCAAACAACAAATAACCACACACTGAACAAGTTAAAATACCTCCAACCCTGGCTTGGGTGACCCAGTACAGCCGCTCATAACACTTGAACTTAATGGAAAAAAAACGAACAATAAATCACTTCATTTTCCCTATCCAACACAAACTTACAACACACGCTGTACCCGATGTTGTGATACCTAATTTTCGGTTTGTTTTCGCATACGTTCTACGTCGAAAAATCCATGAAAATGGTAGCAGTGTTACCACGAGTGGAGACTGACTTGATTTGCACAGAATTTCACCTTGCCATTTGAATGAAACTGTCCCAACATTGTTTTTCTCCAACCTCTAGGCTTTTTTCAACTTAGCAAGTTTTAGTGTCTGGACACATTGAAAAATAGACAAACTTGGCCCGTATGATCGAAACACTCAGGACATCGATGTGCGCGGTATCCAAGATCCGTGTGTTGCAGACTTGAGCCCCGTTGTACAGTTAATGCTCTCGCCTCTACTCTATCAAAGTTTACTTGCACCTTTCTAGAAATCCCTAGATACTGACATATGGTCAAGATAGTGTTGTCTGCGCTCCATGTTTCAAGGTTGAGACAGCGCTGTTCGACTGAATTTAAAATAGAATCCGTACGCACAGCGATTGAACGCCTCTCAAACAAACACGTTTTCATCTATGCAAGCACCTAACAGTCTGGAGCTCATATATAACGAAAGGCAACTTCTGTCAACTAGTGAACATTTCCCCTGCGTAAATCTCCTGGATTATTATTTTAATTTAAGCTGGAGATATAAATGCTGTAGTAAGCCTGTCGTTTCTGAATGAGGTGCTTTTAGTACATAGGTCATTTTATCCCTAAATCGAATCTCTGAAATAACAGAGACAGAGTCCGATATTTGTGATTATCCTATGGTTTATTCTTAGTTAGTAGGCGCTCTGGACGTCACATTTCATCGGTTTGGTAATGGGCTAAAATTGACAGCACCACAATCAAATACCAATGTCAGTGTTGCGTTCAGAACTGTCGCTGGTGTTGATCAACTTGCAAGTATTCTGTCTGCCCGCTTGTTTGCGCTAAGCACTTCATGGGTAAGTCCGAAAAGCACAACTAAACCACGGTTAGATGCTAACAGATTGTAGTAACCTATTATAACAACTAATCATCAAACACGTTAACTAAGAAGTAGGAGAGTATCACAGTAAGCACTGAAAGCTGATCCGAGGCACTAATCACCTCCTTTGTATGACAAATCCGAGCTAACAAGCAACATCAGGACCTCAGGATCTCTTCGGTGCACTTTATATGCACTATTTTTTTGACAGCATATAAAAAATGCTTCAGAATTATGTCAAAATAATTTAGAATGCGACTGGTTGATTGGAATGACGCTCTGGCTAGTCTATAGGCGAGCACCTGAACCTACTACCCTTTCTGCGTTTTCGGACGCACCCGTTGTTCTTCAATAGAATGCATGCGGGGCCCATTTTGGCATATGACCGGGCAGAAATCGTTTGCACAGAGAATACGAATCGGCTAAATTTTACGAAATAATTCATGAAGGTGGGTTCATTGGCTCGTATGGTGCGTACAACGGATTCTTTAGGAATCACGAATTAAAAATTCNGTACTATAGGCCACTTATATGCGCCGAGTTTGTCCTCGAAGCACCTCCTCTCATCATCGTCATCAGGTGACGAAGAAATCCACTCAGCTGGTTAATGAGAAACAGGTATGGTAGTAATTAATGGTGTTATTATTTGAAAATGCGGTGCTGGATGCGGACATTCGTTCGCTTAGGATTGCAGATGGGATGTCAGTAATTCTGTATGCATAATACAAAAACCTAATCAGAAACGTGCCATCGCAATTCTTTCCGACAGACAAGGTAATGTATAGAGCAGTCAGTAGTTATTCTTCTAGGCATATCACTTGGCCCTTGATGATCTTGTTATATTTTTGATCATCGAAAGTTACCTAGTACTCTCAAGTGAGTAGTATCTCACGACAATAGGACCAAAGCTTAATTTGAGGATTGGATCAGTGTTACTAGTTGCTTATGTACCACGGGACTCCAGGGTTCAATTAGCGTCCGTGAGGGAAGCAAGCGGTTTGTTCATCATCTCAGCATATACTTCAATCAGCTGCAGTTCAGGTGCATGCAAGAACGAGTTTTACCAAAAATTGATTCAATTTATTCGGTTGAACTGATTTCCCGATACAGTTGTATTGGCAGTAGATTTTAACGCGCAGGTTGGAAGCCAAGCATTTCGGAATATTGCCTAGTAGGTCGCTGTGCTCTGACTTGCCAGCGAACAGGTAACGCAGATCGGATTCTTCGATTCTGCGCAGACCATCGTCTGTTCCTATACAGCGCCATCTTCCGATACCAATTTCGAAGAACGGAAAATTGGTGCTTCAATGCGACGTGTAAGCTGTCTCAAATCGAGCACACAGCAGTAAACTACAGTATCCGTGTCAGTATTTACAACCAATAACCATATACCTTCTTGCGTCAGTTTTGATTGCTGTCTTTTAGCTGCTCATTTGGACAAAAGAGAAGAATGAAGATTGGAATGTTTTGTGTGAATTCAAGGGGAGTACAGGGAATTCATATAGACTGGGGTTGCTAGAACACTGAGTAGATGCACGAGCACTACTGTTTGCGACTTTCGGAGATATCATTCACTCTCTAACCACCAGTGACTATGATCTCGATGTCCCATCCAGGGAGCCTTACGCAACCTATGTGACCCGGTGTCCTGGTTCAGGTTTTCATACCCTCATGGCAGTTTTCAGGTTCACTGCCTTTGACATTTTCCTTCAACCACCGGTCAAGTTGTCCTGAGGTTCCCATACAGGGAGTCTAACGGGACCTATATGAGCTGGTTAAGGTTTTCAAACCCTCATGCCAGGTTTTATTTTGACCACACTCAATCTTTTTACACTCGCTACCGGCCTCAGTAAACATCCCGCGCCATGGCCATGGTGACACGCGTAACACATGCCCCACTGCCCGGGGGTAACACTGTGCGCTGAATACTGAAGTCATTTAGTGTCTCTGGATCAAAATCACTAGCGTCTTCCGGGCAACCAAGTCCACTTCACAAGAACTGACGATGTTACTTCGGTTGGTGACGAAACGTTTGCAAACAAACTACCAAGATCGGAGAACAGGCGAAATACAAGTCCATTGTTTTAGCTTGCAGTGTAGCGATTTTTATATTCGTTCTTTCTTCGGCGACTGTTAATAATCTCTCGTATTTGTGTCTAATACATGTAATGAACTTAACAATCATAATTTTTACGCATTCTGTACAGGACTATAGACACGTGACTATGTAATTAATTGTTTAACCTAACTTACCTACAGTCTGGCGCACGAAGGATGGAAGTATTTCAAGTATTGTGTGCAAGAGATTCCTATTTGAAACTCTTTCCCACTACCTATTAGACCAGTGTCAATGCAGCACCTGGTGCGGCTCTTGTTGACGTGTTGTGATACCCTGTTCCCACTCCTTTTTGAGGTTGACTAAGGTTAAAAAAGTCAAGTGAAACCGATGCCGATTGTCTCAGCCTCCCACTCGTCAGGGATAATAGTGAATGCCCGTGAACAGAATAATGACCAAGGTTACATTGAACGCTAAGATCCGCTTGACTAACGATAAAGCAACCGACGCGTAAACAATTTTTATGGCGACAACAACACAACTAGACAGCTCAAATATATCCGTAAAACACTTAAAATTGAACATTGAAAGCCCAACCAGTACCTGTTGGAAAGAAAGTCGAACTTTCTTAAGAACGGTATCCCAACATTGGAACTCTGGGGAGCAGTAAACTATTTTGAAAGCGTGAGTAGCAGCACCGACGTCAATTACAATAATAAAGAACCTGTACGGAATAATATGTGGGATTGTTCTCTAAGATAGCGACATCACAAGATGTAGCTCACAGAACTGAGCCGATTGAACGTAGACTTGACAATCTACAAGGACAATGGTAGAGAAATTTCAATTAAACTCAGAGCGTACAACTAGAGAGCGGCCGCACACTAGCCAGTTATATCTACGATTGCAATGAAAAGAGCACAATAATGTCATCAGTTTACTTCGGAGTCACCTTCAAATGGTTTGAATATCACAGATTTCGCATTCCCTCGTAAGGCAAACTGAATTTACGGGATAACAAAACAAATCAGCATTTACCTCACATTCAGTCGTGGTCTGTAGTTAACTTCCGTCGTTGTTCGAAGGCCAGTTGTCCCTGAACTAGAGATTCCGTTTGATGAGAGCGGTGGGAAGGAGGACCGACCAGAGCGTTTAGTTGTCGATTTGATAGCCTGAAGATTTGCTAACTGACCAGGAAGTAAGCCGTCAGCAACGTTTTTAGTCTAAAAATGTGGACAACGCGTAATTTGGTAAGTATTCAACATTTAAACCTAACTGGTTCATCTAGAACACAAATTTGAACGACCAAAAGCTGGTAATAACTCATAAACACGATACTGCGAATATAGGTGAAAATAAAACCTATGGACTTGGGTGGGGCTAATTTCTCATGGAGTCTAATGAATCATTGCGTGTGCATGTCATGTTATTAGTCACGTGCTGGTCAAATTAACAGATCTATCACGCTGTCAATGTCACGGATAGATGTTTGGTGGGAAGGGGACTCTTTCTGTATCCATGACCCCAGGGGAAATGAAGTCTCTGAATTAAACGTTTCTGTGCACATAATTCGTGGGTCAAATATTTAACACAGATAGCTTCATTTAGAGCAAATGAGCAATTTGTCTCATTTGGATCAGTTCAAAGAATCCTGTAAACGGGTTTTACTGCTTCTTTTGGGTTTACACAGTGGTTTTGTTCACCGAATGAGTGAA